ACCGGTGAAGGAGAGCCGCTGCACAGAGAGAGAGAAGGCGCAGTGCCCCTTCAGCGACGCGTCTGTCCTGGCTTCTGCTTTAGCCCTGCGCAGCCTCTTTGGGCAGGGGGAGCCTTCATCCCGCTGCCCTGAGGAGGCTTGGCGCGGTTACCCCAGAAGCCAGAACGGCCACACGGTATCCCAGAAGCCAGATCCCTCTTGCTGCTCTGGCTTCTGGGGTTCAGAATAATTTTTTCTTGTTTTCCGCCTCCCAAAACTAGGTGCGCCCTATGGTCCAGTGCGCCCTATGGTGCGAAAAATACGGTAATTATTAAGATTTTTCTAATTAAATATCCACAAAGTCACCTGCAGACACTAATTGAAACATGTCCAGGTATGTATTTTAGGGCACTGTTTTGCGAAGAATTCTCTGCATTTTCCCCATGCTTTTTGAAACTCTTATCTAGTATGATCTCACAGTGTCTCTTTTGCTGCAAGGCTGAATCAAGAGGGGGGGGGATTTGCATGGCTACCCCAACCTCTCCTAATCTCATCCCTCCATGCAAGATTGCGATCGCCTGAGGTTTAACACAGGGGGCCTTCGGATATCACAGCCAGGAGGTTGGGGTTTACCTAACCCCTGATCCTTAACCTTCCTTGCTAAGCCACAAACCTCAGACCTCTCTAATGCGCAACAGTTTGTGGGCTTCCAAATTGTGTGTGTGTTCAAACACAGATCCCCACTTTCGGTATAAGTGGGTGAGCTTCACTCGGAGATCTGTTTTATTCAGTTACTTCTAGGAACACAAGGACGCGGGTGGCGCTGTGGGTTAAACCACAGAGCCTAGGACTTGCCAATCAGAAGGTCGGCAGTTTGAATCCCCACAATGGGGTGAGCTCCCGTTGCTCGGTCCCTGCTCCTGCCAACCTAGCAGCTCGAAAGCAGGTCAAAGTGCAAGTAGATAAATAGGTACCACTCTGGCGGGAAGGTAAACAGTGTTTCCGTGTGCTGCTCTGGTTCGCCAGAAGCGGCTTAGTCATGCTGGCCACATGACCCGGAAGCTGTACACCGGCTCCCTCGGCCAATAAAGCGAGATGAGCGCCGCAACCCCAGAGTCGGCCACGACTGGACCTAATGGTCAAGGGTCCCTTTACCTCTAGGAACACAGGGAACCATGAACCACGGGTCCCTTTAGCTCCTGGCAGCGTTTCTCTGGGATTTTAGGCAGGGAATCTTTTCCAGTTGTACCTGGAGATGTCTGGGATTGAAGCAGTGTCTGAAGAGTGGGAGACCAGGGTTCGAATCCCCACTAAGCTATAAAGCTCACTGGGTGTGAGTTTGGGTGCCAGTCACTGCGTTTCAGGCTAACCAACCTCACAGGGTTGTTGTGGGGGGGGTTCAATGAGGAAGAAGAAAACCATGGATGCTGCCTTCAGCTCGTTGAGAGGAAAAGGTGGGGTGTGAATGCAGTAAATGAAGAAATAAATAAAAAACCTGGCGCCTTCTGTATTCAAAAGAGCTGCTCCAAAGCTGAGCTGCAGTCCATGGCTATATATAACCTGCATTTAACAGGCTTATGAAAGTGCATTCCAGAAAAAGAGGCAGAAATATTCTTGCAAATAAGACACAGCAAATGCCACAGCGGTAAAACCAGATGATTAGCTAAAACAGGAATAAATCCGCCGTAAAAAGTGCCTTCCCAAATACAAAGGGTTTCGGAGCCCATATGAAAGGGAGCTGTCAGATCTTCCCTGGGGAGATTCCTGAGTTGTGGGGCCACGACAAAGAAGGCTCTGCCATAGGAACTTCATGCAGCTCTCCTTCTCTGAGTCAGAACTTGAGTCCATCTAGCCCAGTGCTCTCTAAACTGGCGGCAGGGGCTCCTGGAGAATTTCCCCCCTCACTTGCATCCCTTGCAGCGAGAGCAGAAGATATGCTTTGCAATCCAGCCCCCAAGACCTCCATTTAAAAGGATCCGGAAGCAGGCAGTGTGCAAGTCATGTTTCTGCCTGAGCCCCTGGAGAGAGATCTGCTCCCAGTCAAGACTGCTGCTGGAGAAACTGTCTGACCGTCTGTGGCTTCCGACAATCCACATCCACCTGGAAAGCTCAGGACGAAACCCCACACAAATTCGGCGCAGAGCTCCTAAAACAGTTGGATGGTGTCTTGCATGCCTCCTTCCTGCAGCCCAGCTGGTGCCAAACTTTCCTCTGGACCACATCAGCCAGGCTGAGAGGGGGTCTTTGTGCTCTGGGCAGCCCAGGACCTCCAGACACACTGCCCAGGCTTGTGTCCCAGAGAGGTCATTTCAAGGCTGTGAACGGAGGGGTTTGACTTCACCCCCGAAGGCACGCTCCATTGTCTCTCGAGATAGACAGATGCCAACATTAACCTGGAAATGTGGCAGCCAGACTGGCGACTGGGAGTGGGTGCCGAGAACATATAACTCTGGCCCTGAAAGACCTGCATTGGCTCCAAGCACAAGTCAAAGTGTTGGTGCTGACCTTTAAAGCCCTAAACGGCCTTGGCACAGTAGACCTGAAGGAGCGTCTCCACCCCCATCGTTCTGCCCGGACACTGAGGTCCAGCTCCGAGGGCCTTCTGGCGGTTCCCTCATTGCGAGAAGTGAGGTTACAGGGAACCAGGCAGAGGGCCTTCTCGGTGGTGGCACCCACCCTGTGGAATGCCCTCCCACCAGATGTCAAGGAAAGAAACAACTACCTGACTTTTAGAAGACATCTGAAGGCAGTCCTGTTTAGGGAGGTTTTTAATGTTTGATGTTTTATTCTGTATAATATTCTGTTGGGAGCTGCCCAGAGTGGCTGGGGAAACCCAGCCAGATGAGCGGGGTATAAATAAATTATTATTATTATTATTATTATTATTATTATTATTATTATTATTAGAAGAGTTTGGATTTGATATCCCGCCCTTTAAGGAGTCTCAAAGCGGCTAACATTCTCCTTTCCCTTCCTCCCCCACAACAAACACTCTGTGAGGTGTGTGGGGCTGAGAGACTTCAGAGAAGTGTGACTGGCCCAAGGTCACCCAGCAGCTGCATGTGGAGGAGCGGAGACGCGAACCCGGTTCCCCAGATTACGAGTCTACCGCTCTTAACCACTACACCACACTAAACCACACTATTATTATTATTATTATTATTATTGAAATAAGAATGACTGGAACAGGCACTTCTGAATGCCAAGCATATTTCTCAAGATCTCCTAATCTTCCTCACTCCTTCCACGTCCCAAGAGAATTCCAGGCAACTTCATGGGGGAGGGAGAATTTCACTATACCACCTGCCCTCCAAAATGTTTAAAGGAAACATGCACCCCCAAAGCATGTTTGGGGGTGCATGTTGGGGGGTGCAACAGAAGCATCGCTGCAGCGTTCTGCTTTGAAAGTACCAGCTGCGAATTCAATGTTGCCAACAACAATTCCCGGGTTTCTGCAATTGGGGGCAGCAAGATGCAATTGCCTCTCCACCTAATTCACAACACGCAAAACGAATCACAGCTACCCTTTGAAATCACCACAATTCTCCGAATTTTGCAACACAACCCACTAACAAAATTGACATGTATTGGGAGTGAGTAAGCGTGCATTTAAAAAAATACACATATTCAAAGGGGTGGGAACATACATAAGTGCATTCTATTGGGGGGAAATGTTTTGCAAAAAATGTTTATATTGGGCCAAATTGCATGCGAAATGTGTTTGTTAGGAGAAAATTGCAGAAGAGATTCCATGAGGATTATTTTTTAAAAAACAGGCGGGGGAGGGATGCAGATTGCTGTGGAAATGTGGAGAGCTGAATTTAAGACTGGGCAAAAACACAAACAGAGGCAAACTGAAATGGAGTGATTTATGCCTCCCTCTTCCCTCTACCTGAAGCATTTGTGAGTGCATCTTGCAGGAGAGGAGCAATGATAAAAGTGGCCATTGTCTAGCTAATGCGACAATACAGGGAGCCTGGGAGCACTTTTTGCCCAATAATATGAAGGAGATTAAAGACCACAGAACTCCAGGAGCATAAAAGCCATTTTTGCTGTCCTCACATCCACAATTAGGAGGAGGAGGTAATTGCGGCCACCACTGATTATCGCGGCACTAGAACTCAGCGCCGGGCATTTATAGGAAAGATCCGTCAACCAGGAAAAGCGTCACACTGATTGTACACACACACACTTCTTGGGGGCCGACAGCACTTGAGGTTCATCACGCTGCCATTAATCCCCATTCCCTCTTTTTTCACAATGTTCGGGCTGCAAGTGCCCTTCGTATTGTAGGCAAAATGGTTATCAACCTACAGACAAGTCAACAGGCTTGGGGGCAGGGGAGCCACCCCAAAAATGCATATTTGTACAAGATTTTTTTAGGCAGATTGGGAAAACATGGCCCAGGAGAAAGCAGATTAGTTGGATGCAATTCTAGGGTGAATATTTTGAATAGTTTCTTTTATGTAACAGAGACAGAAAATCAAAAGTCCTCTTGTTTTTATTTTTTCCTCTTTTCTTTTTTTCTTCTTTTCATTTTTGTTTTCCTTTGGTGTTTTCTCTTATTCTCTCTGTTTTTGTTTTGGTTTAGATTCGATTATTATGGAAAAGCTTTAATAAAATCTTAATTAAAAAAAGACATTTTTAAAGGAAAAATATTAAGGGAATTAAAAAAAAAATACCCCCCCTAAAAAAAATGCAGGGACCAGGATAGGGAGGGATTGCTGGCCACAGCAAGTGAATTTGTGGACCCCATTAGAAGCAAGTGGGAAACAAATTGGGCAAAATAATGACTCACACAAAAAGCAGACAAATAAAACTGCTCAGTTTGAAAGGCACATACAACCTGAAAAATTCAGCTTTCATTTGTATTGCCTGGGATGAGATTTGGTTTTTTGATGCACAAGACCCACAAGTCTTGATGTTAAGACTGACAAGAGATAATAGAATCATAGCACAGTCAGGTTGGAAAGGACCCTGAGGGTCATCTAGTCCAACCCCCTGAAATGCAGGAGTCTTTTTGCCCAACATGGGGCTCCAACCCACGACCCTGAGGTTCAGAGTCTATCCATGCTCTACCCACTGAGCTATCCTGCAGGCTCGGGTGCTATGCTCTTCACCCCAGAGAGGCAACAGGTAAAAGATGGAATTGGCTTTGTTATTCTTCTGGTACACATGAAGCCCGCTCAAAAATAAAAAGCGTCAGGGCCTCCATCCACACAGAAACTCAACACACCCAGGCAAAGAGGCACCCGATCTTCAGATTTGAAATGCACTCCTTGGAAAACGCCACTCTGATTCAACAGCTGGACCAAACTGCAGTAACTGTGCATTAAAAGGTTTCGCTAGAGGACCTCTTCCAGTTCCTTACCAGCACTTGTGGTCTGATGGTCTCACATGGCCAGATTTAGGTTTGATGAGGCCCTAAGCTACTGAAGGTCATGGGGCCCTTTGTATGTCCAGCTGTCCTTTGTCAACAACAAATTGTCACTGTTTTTTGTGTTGAATATATGCTATATGGTAATTTATGGACCTCATAGTATCTCAGGCCATTTGCACATGTTGCCATGCAGCCAGTCCATGCAAAATGTAGGCACCCTATATACAGAAAGGAGCAAACCAGGGATATTTGAGGGAGCAGGCGAGCAGGCGGGACCCATGACTTACATCATAGGAGCCTACACAACACAAAACACGGTTGCTGTATGTAGGTTTTATTTTGTTTTTTATCTTATATTTTGGAAATGTACATCCAGTTTTTTTTTCTTTAAATTTTTTTAGGGGCCCCCAAGAGAGGGGGCCCCCACGAAGAGTCGGACACGACTAAACAACTAAACAACAACAGCAAAACAGAGTGGGGCCCTAAGCTAGAGCTTGTTTGGCTTACACGTAAATCCGACATGAAGGTGTCTGCATGCGGTCTTTGCAAGGATTTGGACCGTGAGTGTGTGTTCTGTTTTGGAAAAACACGAGAGAAAGAGAAAGAGAGAAAGGGAAAGAGAGAGATTTGTCCCATCACTGATGGGACGAACACTCAATGCCAGACCCTCCAACTGCCCCTATTTTCCAGGGACAGTTGCAGACTTTACAGAAGTCGTCCCGGTTTCTGATCTGATCCCATAATGTCCCGCTTTTCCTCAGGACGTCCCTATTTTCATCAGAGAAATGTTAGAGGGCATGGAATTATGTGACCCCTCCCCGCCCCCCATCAAGACAATAAGGAACTATACAACCTTTCAAAGACATCTGAAGGCAGCCCTGTATAGGGAAGCTTTTTAATCTTTAATGATTTATTATGTTTTTATGCATGCTGGAAGCCGCCCAGACTGGCTGAGGCAAGCCAGTCAGGAGGGAGGGGTATAAATATTATCAATTATTTCTCTTAATTCTTTGGGCTGGCGGCTCAAAGCGAGAGGCTGGACAATTCCCTGCCCCTTGGGGGGCGGGCAGAACACAACCAAAAATAATGGCTATCCAGGCCAGTCAAAGGTGGTTGGTACCCCCACTTCTGAATCCCAGTCTTGCCCTCTGCTGCCCAGTTTATGGGCAAATCAGGCGTCTGCTTCTTGCAGCAAAGCTGGGGGCAACCCACGTTTAGGAAAGTTTATCTTCCTCAAAGCAAGAAGAAATTCCGACGAAAGAAGAATGGCAAACGAAATTAATGGACTATGCAGAACTGGACAAAATGACAGGAAGGATTCGAAACCTGCGGGACCAGAGATTTACAGAAGATCAGAAGAAGTATATGAACTATTTGAAGAGCAATTGTAACCAACAAATTACGCTAGTAGGACTACAAGAAGTTTTGTAAGGAGAAATATACGAAGTGTTACCAAGTAGAAAAAGACAGAGATATTGGTTATGAGTTTTAAATGTAATAGGGGAAATAAGAAATGCATACTAAAAGATTAGATTGGAAAATTTTCAGACAGGACTGATGGAAGTCAAAAAATCGAATAAGATGTAAAAGTTTAATTACTGTTGAAAATGGTATGTTAAAAAACTAATAAAAAATTATAGAAAAAAAATTAGAAAAGTTTATCTTCCTTTGCCCGCAAAATAGTTGCTCGTGGCAGGGATGAGGCAACTAAAGGAAGATAAATAGGTGGTATAAAGGAATATGGAAAAATTGGATTTTCAATACGTAAAAACCTAATGTTATAATATATTAAGATTAAAGATCAGGATTAAAAAGGAGGGAAAGGAACTGCTGAACTAATAAATTGAACTGGAATACAAAAAAGGGAGGTATGAGGAGGTCCGGGAAACAAGTAAATGAAAGAGAAGTGATGTTAAGATGGAATTGTTTTTAATTTTTTTTTTCTTGCATTTTGTATTTTTCTTTTTTCTATTTTTCTCTTTCTTATTTATGTATCCTTCTTTTGAAACTTTAATAAATATCATTTTTTTAAAAAAAGGAAGATAAATAGGACCACCGTCAAGGCAAAAATCGAGCAATCACTCTGTTACACAGGTTAATTGCAATTTTGCTTTCGTTTCTAAAGGGCAGCAGCGGTAAAGGGACTCCTACTCAAAGAAGGAGAGGCGGGGATTTACCAATCTGCCTTAGCATGAATCACCACGCAATGCAAAGTACGGCCATCTCATGCTAGATCTGAAAAAAAGGGAAATCTCAAGATCTTCGCATTTCCACCACGCACGTTTACGTTATTAGTCCTCAGGGTGGCAGAAAATCACCTGAAAACACACCAAGGCAGCAAAGAGTCTTGTATTATCTACATAAGAACATTAGAACGTTAAAAGTGTCTTCTGGATCAGGCCAATGGCCCATCTAGTCCAGCATCCTGTTCCCACAGTTGCCTGTGGGATTCCATCACAACAGCCCCTCTCCCCTTCCGTGGTTTCCAGCAATTCAGAAGCACAGCTGCCTCCAGCTGCGGCGGCAGAGCAAAGCCATTTTGGCCAGTAGCCATCGGTAGCCCTCTCCTCCTCCAGGAATTTGTCTAATCCACTCTCAGAGCCGTTCAGGTTGGTTGCCACCATCGGCTCCTGTGGCAGGGAGTTCCACAGTTGAACTATGTGATGCAAACAGACTTACTTACGAAGATTCACTCACTGTGGCACGAATCCGCCTCTTATAGAAAATGGGGGGGGGGGCGGGAAATGCGCAGCTCTCCTAAATCATTGCCAAGCACCAGATCCCTAATAATCCACAGGATTCCGATAGATTACTTTCAACAGCACTCGGCCATCCATAGCGCCATTAACAAACCACTGACCATCCACATGCGGGGCTGCCCTTGAAGCTGACCCAGAAACTCCAGCGGGTGCAGAATGCCATGGCGAGGCTCCTTACGGGGTCCTCGCCGCGGGATCACATTCATCCAGTGCTTTACCAACTGCACTGGCTCCCGGTGGAGTACAGGGTCAGGTTTAAGGTGTTGGTTTTGACCTTTAAAGCCCTGTGCAGCCTAGGACCCTCGTACCTACGGGACCGCCTCTCCTGGTATGCCCCGCGGAGGACCTTGAGGTCCACAAATGACAACATTTTGGAGGTCCCAAGTTGCAAGGTGGTTAGATTGGTCTCAACTAGGGCCAGGGCCTTTTCAGTACTGGCCCCGACTTGGTGGAATGCTCTGTCACAAGAGACTAGGGCCCTGCGGGACTTGACATCTTTCCGCAGGGCCTGCAAGACACAGCTGTTCCGCCTGGCCTTTGGTTTGGACTCAGTCTGACTCTTATGTCTTCCCTCCCCTTATGGTTTTGATCTATGGGCTACTTTTAAAATGAGGCTGCATTTTAAATTGCATTTTAACCTGTATTTTAAATTGGGTCCCCCCCATCATTATGTTTTTATTGTAATTTTACTGGTGTTAGCCGCCCTGAGCCCATCTCTGGTTGGGGAGAGCGGGGGTATAAATATATTATTATTATTATTATTATTATTATTATTATTATTATTAATGTTATGCACCGTATTCCTCATTAGACAGCATCCGACACGCAGCATAATTCACTTTTACGACACAGTCCTAGCATTCTCCTCCTCCTCGAACATTATTTTTTTAAAAGCTGTACAGTCTGCCTAAAGAAGGTGTCTGTCCAGTACATCAAAATCAGAGACGCACCCTTAGAGATGGGCCTGTCTCAGACCCCAAACAAATGCCGCCCTTTTGATTTCTAACTTTCATCAAAACCCCTGGGAAGCTTCCCCAAAAAAGAGGCTCCTCCACACTCACCCCATCATTTAGCTGCAGGGAATTTTTTTAAAAAAACAACAGCCATTCCAATTCCAGTCTTGTCAACTTTGCCTACTTCGTAGAGAGAATTGCTTCACCTGAAAAAGGACACCCAGTAGCCAATGAACCCTTCACGACACGTGAATTCACCTCTTCCACCTGTGCTTTTCCATACAGAAATTTGTGGAACTTCCTAAGCTGGGATAACCTTTTGAATGTATTTTATTTCATCGGACAGTTTATATACTGCGCATATTAGAACAAAACTCTCCGCAGTTTGCAGCATAGGTTAAAATATCTTTGATGGCAAATACAGAGGCAGGGGAGTGTTTTATAAGTGGCTGTTTTGTAACTTTATATATATATATAATAGCATACACATATGAGAAGTCCCCATCACCTCCTGGCAAATAGAAGGGGAAGAAATGGAGGAAGTGAGAGATTTTACTTTCTTGGGCTCCATGATCATTGCAGATGGTGACAGCAGCCACGAAATTAAAAGACGCCTGCTTCTTGGGAGAAAAGCAATGATAAACCCAGACAGCATCTTTAAAAGCAGAGACATCACCTTGCCAACAAAGGTCCGTATAGTTAAAGCTATGGTTTTCCCAGTAGTGATGTATGGAAGTGAGAGCTGGACCATCAAGAAGGCTGATCGCCAAAGAATTGAATCTTTTGAATCATGGTGCTGGAGGAGACTCTTGAGAGCCCCATGGACTGCAAGAAGATCCAACCTCTCCATTCTGAAGGAAATGAGCCCTGAGTGCTCACTGGAAGGACAGATCGTGAAGCTGAGGCTCCAAGACTTTGGCCACCTCATGAGAAGAGAAGACTCCCTGGAAAAGACCCTGATGTTGGGAAAGATGGAGGGCACAAGGAGAAGGGGACGACGGAGGACGA